TTGTTGGAGTCTAAATCCTGTATTGTGGACTAAGGTTATTGCTGCAAGCCCAGTTGCAGGCTCTTTTCGCGTCGGTTTTGGTGTCAGACAGTCCCCCCTTTTCTTTTCTTGGTGCACAAAATCCTGATCAGAGCGTGTTATGGAGCAGGGGGCGTGGTGGCACACCTAGGTGCAGGTTCATCCGCCGTGTCAGCCGCCTGCGCCCTCTCTCTTTCACCTCCAGTCTTATCGACTATGTCTCGACACCGGGCCTAGGTGGGGGAGGAGGAGGAGGAGGAGGAGGAGGAGGAGGAGGAGAGAGTGCGGTAGATACTGCGCAGGTCTACTCCCACTATCCAGTAGTCCGCGCGCAAGTCACCGTGCCTGCTCTCAGAATGCTGCGGAGCACACGGTGGACGTCGTCGGTCACGACGGTGGAACTTTTGTGTGACCTACACCGACTTCATCTCAAATGAGACAGCCTGCACTCGCAACAACAACATCGCGGGGATACAGTGCGTGACCGATCTCATGAAATGCTGGCCAAAATTCTGAAATACGTTTTCGATTAGGAAGGATAAATTGGGCGGATTTGTAATACTGATTATCTTGCGGCATAAGCCTATAACATTTCAGACTAGGCAGGAAGTCGGCTTTTGAATGAACTTTTTTCGACCTCCTGTAGAAACCGTATTCGGTAAGGAATGACTACTTAAGTAGCATGCAGTTTCTCATTTAAATGTATTTCATTAAAAATATGAACAAAAAATACTTTCTTTAACTCATTTGATAGATAATCACGTCATCTTTATATTGTATATTTGAAGAAGGAGTAAAATTAGGGTTTTAAAAAATTTGCTAATTCCCGAATAATTTGGAGCCTGATCAGTCGTTGCATTAGCGCATAGTGATTTCAGTCTACAAGGTGCATGCGTTCCGTGTATGGAAAATCGTATACTCTTCTATGCCTTTAAGAAGATACCATATAGAGTCCATAAAATCTTGCAATGGATGCGGACTGTTGTACATTTCATGAGTGGCAGTGGTAAACGGACAGGTACTATGCTGTGTGAATGGACGTTGCACGGTCTTAAAAAATCCCATAATTAGAAAACTTTTTTAAACTCTAATTATACTCCTTCTTCAAGTATACAATATACACATGACGTAATTCTCTGTCAAATTGGTAAAAGAAAGCATTTTTGTTCGTGTTTTTTATGAAATACATTTGAATTTATTAGACCATCGAAAATCAATGGGAAAAATGCATTCCTTACCGAGTACGGTTTCTACAGGAGGTCGAAAAAAAGTTCATCCAAAAGCCGAAATCCGATCGAGTCTGAAATTTTATAGGATTATGCCGCAAGATAATCAGTATTACAAATCCGCCCAAGTAATCCTTCCTAATCGAAAACGCATTTCAGAATTTTGGCCAGCATTTCACCCACTGTATCTCGGACCATCCAAGAAAGACGACTGAGGTGGTTTGGGCCCGTTCTCCATTGTCCCCCTCATGAGCTCAGTTATATTGCCATCGATCCGGCGCCGTTGCCCACCTGGAGGCACCGAAGGGGGCCAACCCAAAACCTGGCTGGACACAGCTCATCAAGACATGGAAGTAGTTCTTGGGCCCTATGTATTGAGTTTGCCTCGCAGGAGGAGAGAATGGATCGCGCTCTCCAGATCCGCTACCGCAGATTGTAACGTGTAGAGTGATGAGATTCACGACAGCATTGAGGCCGGTCAGGTCAGACATGATCACAGCTTCACCAAATACGAGTACAACCAGCGTGTCCTGACTACGTGTGATCTCAGGCGGGGTGATTATTCACATCGAGGGGAACCAACCTGGTAGAAGAAGACGTCCTTGCGGTCGGAGCCGTTGGTGGCGAATTCCTCCAAGGTGCCTTCTGGACTGATACCATGTTCAGCACACAACTGCTTCCAAAACTCCATGCCAACTGAAAAATATAAAAAATATATTCATCCAGCAGTACTTCGGGAGAGAGAGATAGAGAGAGAGAGAGAGAGAGAAAGAGAAAGAAAGAGGGAGACAGAGTAATAAACGATAACCTATCCAGACAGTGCAGTAATCATAAAAGTAGGTTTTTTGACTTCCAGGTCCCGTGCTGAACTTTGACGTTTGCAGTAACGTTGGACAACTTTATATGGAAATTTTGATTGCATTAGACCACTGCAAAGTTAGAGAGAAGTGAAGACTTCTGAATCATAAAGCGATCCGCTACTCGAAATGCTTGCATGTGCTGTCGAACGATTCTGTTGTCCTGACTAGTATTTGCGGAGGAATGTTTAAGTCGGCAGACAGCCAATCAAAACAGAGCCGTGTGATAGACGGAAGCGAGGATGACTCCGCTTCGTCGGTGGGAAAAACATACGACTCCATGATAGCCGAATTCCGGAGAGAGGCCAGTTCCTTCGAGGCCAATTAAAACTCTAACCGTTAAGGTGAAGCGCTTACATCCACGGTAACGTACTGCTGCTGTTCCCAGGGGAGCAGATTAGTAACCGTTTCCGCACGATCCATTCTGAAACGCAACTGGAAGGCGCGCCGCCGAGACGGGCATATAATAAGGTCGGTGATCGGGCGCCAAAGGCGCACTTCAATCAGCTAGCGGCTGGAGAGTTCGACTGCTACCTGATAGTAAAACGGAGATACGCACGGCGAATGCTACGGGCGTGGGCGAATGAACAAAGGCGCCTAAACACAGTTCACAGAGGACGATGCGGGGGCTTATTGTGAGTTTTAGCCTTTGATGCATGCTTCCTACGGGTGTCTTAGAGGGCTAGCAGTAAGAATGAAGCCTGGAGGAACAAACGCACCCCTTCGATCAGTAACCATCAGGCCTGCACGATAGGGCACCGAAGGGTGAATAGCAACCCATTCAGCTACCACAGTCCAGGCCGAACCCAACACGTTCCTGCTCCACCTAATTGCATCGAGTTGCAAACGTGCCCTGCTGACACTCCTCATCCGCCTCCGACCAACGGAAAAGCACTGGGAGTCGACGCGATTCATGCCGAAAGTTGCAAATACTGTAGTCCCCGACATGTAGACAGGCTTGCTCCACTGCTTCGGGAGATGTGGATATAGGGTCAAATCCACGAAGACTCCAGGGGTTCCATCATCGCGCGCATATGCAAACGCAAGAGAAACTGCCAACTTTATGATAACAGAGGTATCTACCTCTTCAACATCGTAGGCAAAATCTTCGCGTGTGCCCTACTCAATCGCCTGAACACACACCTGGAGCAGGGATTCCTTCCACAAACACTATTTAACCACAGACATGACCCTCGCGCCCGTCACAACTGGAAGGAAGCTGCCAGGTAAGGAGGACTAGCCTTTACATCGCATTCTTGAACTTGACGAAGACTTTCGATGCGACGAGCCGTGATGGACTCTGGGAAATCATGCCGAAATTCACTTCTCCGTAGCGGTCCACGCAAACGGGACGATGGCTCACGTCGGCGCAACGTCTGGGGCCTTCGAAGTGAAGCAGGGTTGCGTTCTCGTTTCCACCTTATTGAGGCTAATTTTCTCACTTATGCTGTTTGAAGTCTACCGTGAGGAGCGGCCGCGAATCAACATCGACTGTCGAAATGACGGGAAACAGTTCAACGTCTGACGCATGCGCTTCCGTGGCTAGTGCACACAACTCCTTGTTCGCAGGTAACCATGAAGTAAACGCCACAACGGAGGAGGACATGGAGCGGGGTTTTGACGTTTCTGTTTCTTGCTGGCGTGGACATCTTCGATGCTAACCAAATAGTCGCCTCAAGGTAGAGAGCAAGGCTCTCAAGACTCAGGCGTCATGGACTACCAACACAAGCACCTAACATCTACTATCATGTCCACATTGTCAACGGCATTCCGGATACGGATCGGCCTGACTAGGTATCTCCGGACGCAGTGCAATGTAAACGCAATCAACCCGTCTCATCTCACAAAATACCACTACTTTCATCACTAGTGAGGGCACAACTACCACTAAATAAAACGTCACCATCACTGTCCCTACCACTAGGAATGTGAACTCAGTTCTAACCTGGTCCCATTGAGACTGCACCATCGAAACACGCATTGGCCTTGTCGGTCACTTGCGGGTCCATCTCACTGAAATGACGGAATCAGTGCCTGGAGCTCCAACATACACCTGTCAAGCACACCTCACCTGCCCACACTACCCCTCCCCCGGGCACTTAGACACCACATGAGTCTTGTCGACCGCATGTGCATGCACTACAGCGAAATTCCCGCACGACCGCTCCACCTCCCACATCAGAAAACTTATCTACCCTCATCACCGATACCAGCTCCGTAGACAAAGTTTCGGCTTGCTCTTGCTGCTACTTCACACTTGAGCCACGCATTGGTCTGCTCGGTCACCAGCCACTCTATCGTGCTGACACCGGCGAACCAGTGCCAAGAACAATATAAAACCGACACTCAAGTCTCATTTGCGCCCGGGACATTCGGTAGCCAAATGAGCCTGTGTGCGCATACATAGAAAGATATCCAGTAAAACAACACGGTTCAGATTTTCATCACAAGGTCTAGCCCTATCTTTACACACAAACACCCCTGGACTGTACGCGAACCTTGCAAGAACCCCAACTGCAGCATAGTATGTAGCACATATGGACGGGAAACCGGGTCGTTTAACTCTGGCAGCCATTGCGCACACACTTACCTCCGGTCGTCCTAACTTTACACGATGGGTGTTGAAGGAGGGAGTGAGGTGTACACAGCGCAAGTCTGCTTCACTATAAGCAGATTCACGCGCAGGTCGCCGCTGCTGGACCCATCTCATGGGGCAGCGGTGGATGTAATCATTTAAGACAGTTTGGCTACCGTTAACGCACAGGTTTCGCGAAAAATAAACGAAAACTTGGGTGAGTGGCTCACTCTTGAGGCAGGAATTAGGGGAGAACATTTTAATGCTTACTTTGATTGCCGCATTGGCCCAACTGGAGCATAATAATGTCTCGAGGCATGGCGGTCAGGCCGACGAAGGAGGGTTTGAATTTGACAGAAACACTGGCGCCTGCAAATCTTTCTAAAAAGTAATAACCATTATACAATGAGAGGAAATATGTTCACAGTGATGACTCATGCCTCCTTTAGAATTCTATTCTTTCACATTACATAACCGTCTACTTTCGCTTTGCACAACAAAGATGCCTCCTTTTCCAATTTTTTGCAACAAATAAGCGCAAAATACATGGGCCTAATAGAGTCTGTCTGGTATGGTAGAGATGAGCGCTCATCGATCGTTTCTTAGGAACTGACTCGTCCCGTTGTGCCTTAGAGGCTCTCTCTCGAGCCCAACCAGCAGCCGCACAGTGGCGCTTTGTCGGTAATACCACGCTGCCTGATATGTTATACATACGACCCCTTCAAATCCTCTACTTCGTCACATGAGCAACACAGTCAAACCCTTCAAAATGCAAGTTTGTACAGATGTCAATCTTGGTGCAGAAATTTGCATGACAGGAGAAGGCCAAAGCCAGACCTGTAAGCGTCTTTAGGGCAGAGAGTATCTTCTTATTATCCCACTGAATAAGCGTCCAACTAAGTAAAAGTATGAAAGACTCGCAAAATCCGGTAACTACGTCTGTTTTAGTCGAAACCGGCCCGGATCATGGACAACCTCCAAGCAAACAGATGTTTAATAGCCGTCAAGGCACCAGTGTGGTGACCGGCGGACGCTGTGACGAAGCATTATTTCCATTGAATGATGGTCAGGTGTGGAAAATACTGCGTATGACAAGCGACCATTGCTTACGCATTCTGCCAAAGGGAGATGTAAATGTGAAATCGACATTCGGTCAAGCAGGCAGTCCCCGACTTAGTCTAGTTTAATTAAAGCCTCTGGGGTTTGGTTTAAAATCAGTCATTCGGTCAAATTACGAGTGCAGCAGGGTTATACCATAACAGTCCGCCTATACGGAAGAGACGTGGCCCGTATGCCTATAAGGTATGAACCATCTGGAAGTGCTTGATCGATAATGCTCGTGCTTATTTTCCGAATGTGTCCGTACGCGTTTGCAATGGACACCTATAGAGCAAAACTGAAACAAAACCAGCAAACTGGCCCTCCATACTCGCCAACTGCGATAACCCCACTATGTGCTGCGCCAAATCCTTCATCATGCCTTCTCACGTAAACTTGGCGCTGAAGGACGACGACGTCGAGGTGGTAGTCTGAAGGCACTGGTAGTCGTGACAAAACCCGACATCGAGCGCTCCGTGGCTGGCCTGTTCGACTTTGCTCGAGGGTCTGCCACCGATAGACTGCAGTGGGAGGCAATAAATTAAGGCAGCGGCGAACTTAAAATATGAGGTTAGCTGAATCAGTTATAGCGAATGCCGTCTAAGTATGCGTGTTGCGAGTAGTTGGGGACTTTACGGTGTCAATGCTGCTGTCCTAAATCGTACGTCTACACTGGATTACGAAGAAACACACGAACCATATTTGCCGTTATCGTTTAAGTACCGATCTTTGATAAATAAAACGGTAGGCTACATGAAATAACTGACCAAATTCCCTGGATATGAACTCCACGTCTTTATGGATGACTGAAATGTTCGCGATTGCATTACGAGTTAAAAGGCTGAAAACTTCTGCTTCGGCATTTGTCCGGTTAGAGGTTCGCAATCGGTAATATGATAGCAACCCAAAACCAACTGATGGAGGAAAAGTCTGACAGGCCAGATATTTCTACTTTTGGAGTGTAAACTGGGTGGCGGCAAAAATGTCGGAAAAATCAATGTGGCTCCATTCTTTCGGGGGTGGATGTCCAATTTTGTCCAACAAACGTATAACATGCCCTTCTATTCGCTTTGACACATTTCGAACCTCTGTAAAACCAGGAGGTAAGGTCAGACCGATTGACGATAATCGGTCGGAGAAAGAAATTGCGGCAGATCACACAAAGCACCCGAAACACTGAAAACTAGGCAAATACGGGTAGATAACAAAAGAAACCTAGATGGTAGGAATGCTTTAACTAGCTCGTACCAGCTACCTATCCTGATATAAAAAGGTCAGATGACGAAGCCGAAATCTTCTCGATGCCTTCGAAGAGCGAAGGTCACGTGCTAACATCGCTGAAAATGCAAACGCTGTGGAATAAGATAAAGCCACACAACCGTATGATTTGCCGCTGGCCTTTCTGCAGAGCGAACTCATGTCTGGTCTGCCGCTCGCTGAGTATCAGCATGATTATTTCCACTTTTGATATGGGTAGCAGAACGTGCAATGAGAATGGGCACACTAGTCCATTTTTAATTCCATTGAAGATCCTTAATGGTATGCTTACTTGCGCGTACTCATATAATCACTAGCAATAATTTTAATTTAATGGGCTCGCAATGCGGTTTGCGCTTTGGAGCTCACGATCAAGTTTTCAGTAGTTACCGTTTAGTAAGTATTGCATTTTCGAGCAAACAACCGCCATCGGCTTGAAAGTGTTGTCGTTGTAAAACTCGGCGTAGTCATGGTATTCTAGTGCTAACTCAATCAAGAGTCAGGTAAACCTCTCAACCGTAAACCAGGCGTTAGTCAGTTGTCTACAACGAAGAGACACTTATGGCTGACCAGATAGAGCACAAAACGCTGTGGACTTTATCTACGATTGTCATGCATAAATATTTGTTGTCATGAGTGGTTGGTGTTTGCGTAGAATAAACCGACGCTGCATTGTTTTATCATACGTTAGAAAGGCAGCGAGGTATTTATCACAGCGCAAAATTCTGTCAATGACAAGGGCTTATGGTGGAAAATACGGTCATAAAAATCCCAAAGCCAAGTAAAAGTTACGAGGAGGATAAAACCGCCACCATGATAACTGGATTGCGTACAGAACTCTTGAGTGTTGGCTCAGCCAACGGTGCACTACTGACACGGCTTTGCAGACGAATCTGTGCCCGACTAACCGACCGGGTTATGCTAGTGAAAATGTAAAAATCACAATCGACTAGCTTAGTTCGCTGAAGCGTGATCCCTCGAAAAAAGCCCGAGATCGGTTCGCTTGTGCTGCACTCACCCGAATGGATGATCAATTAAGTCTGGTCGCGCGTGACACTGCTGCCAGTTAGATGCAAAAGGCTCAGGTACGGGTGGGCCCATAGGTTGATAAGAATATGATGTGTAATACCTGAGTTGGGCCGGCAACACTCAATGTATATAAGATGCAGCATTTCTGAATGCAAAATTTTTATTTGCATTTCGCTGACTTTAAAGGCATATGAAGCAGCACGCAGATGCTGACCGCGTGTTTTAAAGTAAACACCTGAATGCTCCACAAAACTTGGTCCAATAAATTTGACCCAATTCAAAGGCATTTTTGGACTATTGCCACCAACAGTCCGGCATCTGAAAAAGTCGCCATTTAAGGAGTCCAAGAGGAGGCAAGAGATAAACTACATGGCCATGGTCAGGCAGGCAATCATAACTTATCAAGATGCATAGAGCTCGATATGGCGGCATCTCCGAAATCGGCACACATATGTTCTTTTCGCCATTTTAGAGCGTGTTCTCCATCCAGTTCCAGCTTAATCATAGGAACTCCTAACTCTATCTTCCACAAACTAATAAAGATCACTATATCATCGTCTTCAAACAACGAAGTATCGCGCCATAAGTTTCATGTTCCTTCAGACCTCACTTCCTTGGGCAGAAGATATGCCTACGTCATTCCTCGCCTGTACTTAAATCTGACATCTTTTGTTATATGATCAGTTGTCTTCTACTCGGACATGTTTGCAAACTGTCGATCATGCATGATCGGCATGCCGTTTTCTAAATGAGGACAAATAATCAAGCCGGTCCGAATTTAATGTCGTCTTGTCATCGGTGATTTGAATGATTTACTCCGTGAAAAAATTTGGGTGTCATCTTCACGTAGCGGAAGGTGGAGAAACTACTGTCGAGGCACCAATTGGCCAGTACCCTCAATTGAGCCGTGTATTATATCGAAAACGGTAAAACAAGGGGAGTGAAATCGGGATAAGACGTATGAAGACCGCGATGTAATCCAAAAATGGAAAGAACGGGTAAGTTTAGCGGAAAGGAAGTCTAATATCAGTTAGTAGGACCGAACTTACCCTAATTCGAACAGGAAGACCAATTAGAAAGTGCCGCCAACCTTGGAGAAACGCCCTACAACCTAAGTTGGAGTCTAAGGTTCAAAGTTGTTTAAGGGTAAAAAGCTTTACGTAAGTTCCGTGTACTCATTCACAAGAACGTGAACAAAAACTTTATCCGAGCTGAACGACACAAGTATAAATCTGTGAAGAGGGGAAGGTAGTATAGGTCGAGTTGCCAGCAGTCCGAGACTTAATGCGCAGCATCCACGACAGTCAGCAAACATCAGTCAATTATTTGAATAGGAAGTAATGGCCGTCTTGAAAGCATTAAAGTAGGCACCTGTATCTCCGCACCATAAGATTGCCGGACTGCAGTCAATAGCTTGGACAAATAAATTGCTCTGCCTGCACCAGTCTCACAGAGGCTCCTCAAAGATGGCGGGGTCGGAGGGGCCTATGTAAGGACTTGGTGGAGCTACGAAAGAGACTGTGGAGGGGTGCTCCACGCGACGACACCGTCTAGTCCCGTCGAAGGAGAAAAGTGCGCAGGGAACGTCGTCTTTTCGTTCACTTTTGGCACCCCTTTAAAAAATCTGTATGGTGAATCACCTGAGGCGCAGTGGCTCAGCGTTCCCGCATGTTGCACTCCAAAACGCCTCGGAGACTGTGGAGTGCTACGTACTGCATAGTACTCCCGATGACCCCGTCGTATATGTATCCACTAGTCGGCACTCAAAATCGGACACAGTGCAGACGACGCAAATGCATGTGAATGATATATTTATTGCAGACACTAAAAAGCAATTGGAAAATATGCACAATCGCAGTAAATGTCAGTGAACTGCGTATACATTGATAGTGACATATGTTATGCCATTCACTTAGGCGTTCAATAAGGCCCCTACTCGACGGCTGATTCCTATATGTGAAGAAAAACAATTGTTAGGATAGCACATGGTCGACGGATGCCTGAGACACTACGCAGGCGAATTAATACCGCAAAATTTAATTGAAAGTTTTAGCGATAATTAAATTAACTACAGTGGTATGAATATTTAACCTTGAATACATAACTATTATTGATGACAATTACCGTGTCTTCATATAGAGACGGTATGGGATAACGTGTATCATTGCTGGTTCCTTCAACTGCCTTCCGGCGTTTGGACAGGCCGCCTTACCGATCCCTCGATCCATGAAACCAGTCAACGGCAGTCCCACGAACCATTTCGTGGACTCAATCATTAAGCTTAGAGATCAGGCCAATGGCGTCTGAGCGGCTAACAAATGAGGAAAATTTGCCACACAGGCGTGCGTATAGAGGACTACAAACAATGGACTGTTTCCCCATTGAGCCTCCCCAGCAGTAGCTAAGGCATAGAGTTGGTCCTAACAGTGTGCTGACGAGATTCCCACGAACCCCTTGTTATTTTTTCCGCCAACAAGGACAAGTAGTTTCATCTATAAGACATGGGAGTAAATAAAGCTCTATATTTAATAATAATGATAATAATAATAATAATTATTATTATTATATTAAATTTTAGTTTACAGGCATTGTCAGAGAAGCGTCAAACACAAATCGAGCCAGCAGGGGAAAAAACTCCTGTGGAAAAGGAATCAAAATATAGTTGATAATGGCTTTTATGGTTTGGAGTGTTAAGGAGAAAAAAACTGCTGGCGGCATACATTCGACTGTCAAGAAGGGAGGGGTTGCACGGTATCGGAGATTATCAGACGCCAATTCCTTTCATGAAGTTATGGATAGTCAACATAGAGGTAGTGGAGAACAGCTGTCGCTGTCGGCCAAAGAAATTGTCCCTGGTGAGACCAGGCATAATGTTCAGAGACCACAAACGCCATCGCTACGGTACAGTCGATCAATGGATTCAGCACCCAAAATGTGTGGGAGCTTTCCTGAATGCAAAAATCGAGTAAACGTTATCTTAAATAGAGAATAATTTTGCAGAGTTTTCACACTCCTGGGTAGTTTATCCCAAATATCAATTGCATTTACAGAAACGAACCGACGATATATAGCAGTAGGTGTCAGGGGAAGAAATAAAAAGGCCTCACGGTGACTGTTACGTTGGGGGGTGAACATGATGTCTTAAATTAGTAAGTGGGTTAAAGTTGCGATTATATAAAAACTAAAATAGCAAAAATAGTCCCTTTTGTAATCTACGAAACCATAAAGGATCAAGGCCTGTAAGCGTCAACGTTCTTGGTAAGACAAATGGCGATGTTCCAGGGCTAAGACATACCAATTCCTGTCGAAAATCGTCCTCATCATTTAGCTTGCCGACGAGGTCCTCGTAAGCGGCCTTGGTGCATAGCAGCAAGCGCAGTGTAGGAGGCCTTTGTCTGACAACGACGGAGGGAAGTATTTGCCCAAGCTTCTCAACCATGAGTGCGCGATGTTGCCGTAACCCCTCAAGAATGATCGTCTGGTTCTGGACTATGTTGTCAACTGTTTTACTTAATAAATTTAATCAAACGGCATAGATAAAGTCCTAACCGTAGAGATGTCAAGTCGGTCTGCATTGACCTTCAAATGTCACTCCGCGCCCTAGAAGCATCCTTTTCCGTTTGCAGTCTGGAATAAATAAATAAATTTTTTATTTAATGCCAGTTTACGGGCATTTTCAAGGGAAGCGATTAAACATAAATCCGACCAGCAGTGAAAAAAAATAATATATCCAACCTGCTTACTGAAGCGATGGGACTGCTGCCCCATCCGGGGGAAGGGTTACATACATTTCTGTCAAGCCTTGCCCCACAAACCGTCAGAGTTACTGCTGCTTACTGAAGTATGCGTGGTAGCGCCGGGCAACCAGCTAGTCGCATTTCAGACTGTCGGTCCATTATGTCCTCGTCGTCATCATCCTCCGAATCGGAGGTCAATCTGCGGACAGGGCATGATTCTGAGTCCGCAACGCTTCCTTCTTTACATCAATGATATTTTGTCCGAAAGCAGAAATTCATAAACTGTTATTTATGTCGATGACTTCAAATGCGTTTACACATATTCGAAGAGCACCATACATGTTTGTGCTGAAAAAATTAATGCCGATTTACTACGCTTAAACAGATGGCGTTCAACATGGCACATGGAGTTTTCATAGTCTAAGTGTAATTTCATGTCTTTTGGCCCTGTCAAGCTTCCTCGTCTTTTAATTTCTCAAAATAACCCACTCTCAGAATGCTTCACCATAAAGGACCTAGGTTTAAGTTATAGAAATAATCTTACTTTATCACTTCATGCAGATAGAATCTCTGCCAAAGCCGCACAGATATGTGGGCTCATATCGCACATCTTTCCCTTCTGGAAATGGAGCTAAGACTTCTTCAAATGTTTGTTCTTCCTGTCCTAGGAAACTGCTGTCCTTTCTTCGGTTTAAGGATAGCCTGCGACTGCTTTAAGATCGAAAATATCCAGAGAGCTTTCACTCGGAAACTCTGCTCTCAAGTTGCATCTGGTATTTCCTATACTCAGAGATGTCAGCTGGCGAACATTAAGTTTTTCGGGGTTAGAAGACTCAAAGTTAGCCTTTGCTTCCATTTTCGCTTTAACTCTCGTTTCAGTCTTCGGCGCATTGACACTGTCACCCCGAGAGATCGCTCTTAGGCCACGCGTAAATCCTCTATGGTGATTCCGCCGCCTCTCTGCTCTCAATCTAAGCGCTTCCCCTTTTTGCATCCAAATATGTCTCTCTTTGGGAAAATCTTCAACTTAAACTTAAGTCATTGCCTAGGTTATCGGAATTCAAATTGAAATTGCACAGGCAACTTGCATTAGAAAGTATAAGGTCGGTATGGACCGTTTCGTTCCCGAACACCCAGCTTCTTGACTTTGAGAAGGATCCCCTGGGATTTAGTGGTAAATCAAGTAGAAACCCTCACTTATATTTTCACAACACTCTGGTAATTGGCAACTAAGTTCATTGTTACTATTTTTACCCCGCAGCGATGGTTTTCGCGGTTCATTATGACATTTCATTTCTAGCCCAAGCGGTCAGTCGACGCACGCGTCGGGGTCCTCTGTATTCGCTATCTACTAGTAGGTTGATCGTTCCGCAAAGACATCTCATGATCCTATCTCCCGTGCCTCCTCCTCGGCTGGACTGTAAGCGGACTGTGACCGCCTCTGGGTTCCTCTCGCCTCGTTATTTAAACGCAAATAGCCTTATTTGGTTTAGGAACTCTGCCTTTACGATGTGCGTTTCGAATCTCTTTTAAGCAGTCGCATGCAGGCCAGTCCTGTATGACTCATATACTTACCCTTTCGGGAGTGAAATTTCTTCTGCCCGACGATGCCTGTTTATAACACCTTATACGCTACCACATGCAGGCCAATCCTGTTTGACCCTCATACTTACCCCTTCATTAACGACAGTTTTTGTCCTGACGATGTCCGTTTAGAATCCATTGCACAAAATCATATAAATAAATGAACAAATTTTTATTTAATGCAAGTTTACAGGCATTGGCAAGGGAAGCGATTAAACACAAATCCGACCAGCAGTAAAAAAAACTCCTGAAGAATAAAAATATAGTTGATGTTGGTTTTTATGGTTTGAAGGGTTCAGGAGAAAAAAAAACTGCTGGCGGTATATTTTCGACCGTCAAGAAGGGGGGGAGGGGGTTGCACGGTATCGGAGATCATCGGACGTCAATTCCTTTCATGAAGTTGGGGATAGTCAAAGTAGAGGCGTTGAGGAACAACTGGTGAGACCGGCCATAGTGTTCAGAGACCACAAACGCCATCGCTACGGTAAGTCGATCAATGGATTCAGAACCCAAAATTTGAGGAAGCTTTTCTAAATGCAAAAATCCAGTAATAGTTCTCTTAAATAAAGGATAATTTTGCAGAGTTTTCACACTCATGGGTAGTTTATTCCAAATAGCAATTGCATTTACAGAATAGAACCGACGATATTTAACAGTACGTGCCAGAGGCAGAAATAAGAAGACCTCACGGTGACTGTTACGTCGGGGGTGAACATGATGTCTTAAAGAAGTGAGTGGGTTAAATGTGTGATTATATAAGAGTTTAAATAGCAAAAATAGTCTCTTTTGTAATCTACGGAACCATAAAGGATCAAAGCCCTTAAGCCGGCAACGTTCTTGACAAGACAAATGTCGGTGTTCCGGGGTTAAAATTCTCGTGGTAAAAAAATGTTGAACGAATTCTATTTTCTTCCGCTCAGTAGCACGCATGAGGCTAAATAAAAACGAACCATATTCCAGACCAGGTCTAACGTACATGTTGAAAAGGCACATTCTAATGTCCCTAGTTTTAAAGTTTCGGAGGATAAACCCGGTCGTTCTGCGTGCTTTGGAGACTATAAAGACACAGTGATCCGAGAGATTGAGACTCTTGGAGTATGATATGCCCAGATCCTTTATAACCCTGAGCACATTTATGGAGTGACCTTCAATATTTAGTTGAGGTTGGTGGTCGTCGCCAACCACCATGACTGAGCACTTATGCCAAGAAAGAGAAGGGCGCCATGTGCGGCACCACTGGGCGAAAGCCTGTAGATCGCTCTTTAGGAGCTCGAGCACGATGTCATGATCTGCCGGCTTATATCGATATGCAACTTTAAGATCATCGGCATACACGAAGGGCGAACTATTATGCAATACAACGGGTACAGCGTTAACAAAAAGGAAAATTAAAGAGGGATGAGTTCACTACCCTGAATGACTCCACTCCTCAAACATGTGGGGTTGGAGACAGCATTGGAAATATCGACTCGTTGTGTACGAGCGCCCAGGTGAGAGGTTATACAATTTAAAAGTTTGCCACCTATTCCGAAAGAGGACAGTTTCAGGAGAAGAAGAGCATGGTCAACACTATCAAAAGCCTTAGTGAAATCGAAATATACAGTGTAAAGTTCAAAACCATTGTTCCTAGATTGGAGAATATAGTCAAAGAAAGATAGCTGACAGGTGTTACAAGATCGAGCTTTGAGGAATCCATGCTGAGCAGCACTCAGTAAGTTATTCACTGTTAAGTGACACATCATCTTCTCTTTGATCAATGTCTCTAAGATCTTCGAAACTGCAGGGAGGGTGTTTATTGGCCGAAAGTCATCAAATGATGTAGATTTGCCGTGCTTAGGAATGGGCAAAATGTGTGATTCCTTCCACAAGGTAGGATAGGTTTCAGTTTCAANCGGCCATCTGGCTCACGTGCTTGCGCGCTCCTCGAGTGGTCAATTGCTTTGGCCAGTCTATACCTCAGGACAGAATATGGAGTGGGGATGTCGTTGCACTTGTTGATAGACTGAGGTCCCGTGAACCATGACTCAAGCAACTTGCGGCTAACGCGATTATCCCCTCTTGCGAGAATTTTGGCCTCATCGAACTTGAATGTGTGGCCGGGTCTCGTCGAATGGGCCGCGACCTGAGAGTTGGCGTCATTTCTCCGTACAGCTGCCACGTTTTCAGCGATTCGAGTCCGGAGCAGTCTTCCAGTTTCTCCGACGTAGTTGCTTTGTCCGCAACTGCACCAGATCCGGTAAACGACTCCAGATGTTTCTTGTCGTGGCAGTGGGTCTTTTGGTCTCATCACTTGACGCCTCATGGTGGCCTCCGGTCTGTGCGCAACTCCAACCCCAAGTGGTGCAAGAAGGCTGCTAACGGCCTCGGAGACGTTCTTGATGTACGGGATCGCTCGCCAGAATTTGGGGTCGGCGCGATTTTGTCGCTCGTCTCGTTTGCGCAAGCACTGGTTGACGAAGATGCGCGGGTAACCGTTTTCTCGGAAAACCCGTCGAAGATATTGGAATTCGGCAGCCTTGTCTTCCGGTTCACTGCAGTGCGTCTCAACACGCCGAAATAGCGTTCTTACGCAACTGCGTTTGTGGCTGATTGGGGGGTTACTGTTGAAATTCAGAATTTGCGTCGTGTTCGTTGCTTTTTTGAACGCTTTGGTCTTTAGGCCACCACAATCTGTGCGACAGACGAGGACATCAAGGAATGCCAGCTGGTTATTCTCTTCCTCCTCCATCGAGAATTGTATGTCCGGGAAGACGCTGTTGAGACGTTCTTTGAACGTTAGCACCTGATCCCGTTCGATGACGACTTCCTGTACACTAGCCACACTTTTCTGCAACTGTCTCTGATGATGGATTCAAGAGAGAATCCGAAACGTCAGGCGAATAAAGCCATTGTTCCAGCGATCGCTTCTTCTTCTGATCAACGATCAAAATTGTCGTTGGCGTTGGGAGGACGATAGACGCAGCCAACGAGTAAGGAGAACTTATTTTTTAGTGCAACCTGGAGCCAGCAGCTACCTTCTAATGCGGAAAAGTGCGGGAGGTCCAACGGCAAAAATGTAAGTGTTTGCTTCACGTTAACGCAGCTGCCCCCACCACGGCTATCTTGGCGATCATTTCGGATGAAAATATAGCCTAGAGGCGAGAGTTCGGATTCAGCTACTGAGGCTGATGCCCACGTCTCAGTTACTAAAACAATATCTGGACAATGGACGAACACCAGAGTCTGAAGCAAAGGCATCTTATTAAGCAAGGATCTGGCATTTAAAACAAAAGTTTGAAGGGAAAGGCTGTTAGTTTTTGAGGGAGGTGGGCTACATCGTCCAGTTCTGGGCTGCCCACGAAGCACATGGTCCGGATGCAACCATCCGGTTTTGCAAAAAATTATGTGGCATCGAAAACTTCGGACGTGGATAAAAAGGGGTAGGACTTGGGGGAGGGAATGACGGGCAGGTTAACTGGTAACCATTGTAAGCTAACTTATTTTCATCTGGAAATCCGCGGGGCAGATACTGCAACGTATTCCCGCCGGAACAAAACTGAGGATCGGATGAATTAACTGATTCAGTATGGACATTATCATGAGGAATAAATTGGTAAAACGGCCGTGGAGGAAACAAGTTAGGGGATGGGGACGCATTGTTTCCATATGAGCAAGAGTTTTATTAAACGGCGGAAAAACCGGCATATTCAGCCTAACTGCCTCGATATGAGGGCTGGGATGCAGTTGCGAACCCGCTACGTTTTGAGTCGGGGTATTTGAGGCAATGTTAGCCGATTGTGGAGGAAAAGATTTTATAATGGTGCTGGATTTATTGGGTGTCAGAGTGGCTGAGACAGCAATTGGATTTGCCTTTGACTTAGGCACATGCTTAGGCTTACTAGGGGTTGCTGGGGGAGTCGATAGAGGCGTGTTTATACCAGGCGTGATGGTGTGTTTAAAGAGCCCAGCATTAAAAGTAGTCGAATTCCCTACGGAATTGACTATGCCGTGATGTGCAGATGCCGCAGATGGTGTTGTAGAGGACTTATTCAGACTGACATTAGGTGTCATTATCCTGGTGCTGGTTTTTGCCGAATTTAATTTATTCAGTCTTCGCTGCAGGGGTGTGAGGTCTGGCGAAACGGAGCAGCGCCATTTACGGCAGAAGTCTCTAGTTATCTCCCTACTCGACAAGATAAAATCGACTTCTATCATGGAGAAAAGGGTAACTAGTATCGGCGCATTACGGCTAAGCGAGCGAAGTCGCTTAGCTTGTGCGACACTGAAACTCAAGCCACAACTTTGTAGGAACACATGCGCTCCCTCCATAGCAGATAAGTGACTCGGAATGTTTCGCAGTACGAAATTATGCTTGCATTTAATTCTTTCCTCAGTTTCTGAACTGATTACCCCAATAAGTTTAAAAGCTTGTTCAATTACTTTTTCAGAAGTGCTGTTTATGTAGCCATAAATCAACTGGTCGACTATTTCGCCGGCTGATGGCCTGCTACGACTAGCAGAGGCATATTTTTGGACGGCTGAAGCGTCAAGAGGTTCTACATCTACTAAAGGCATTTGTGAGTTAATCAGATCTGCGGACGGCGAAGAACATACGCTGGCACCTGCTATGTCTTCGGTCACGATTTTAGCACACAGAGACGGTGGGGAGGCCGCAAGCTTTCGCCGTTTAGCACGTGCTCTGCGAGGCATTACAGACAGGAAAAGTTTTTCCGTTACAGAAGAAGGGTAAACACGTTGCCAACGTACGGAAAATCGCACTTTATAGCAAGTGCAACTGTTATTTAACTACGAAAAATAGAAAGAGATAGTAGGGAAAGGAGTCACTACAAAGGTTTTTTAGAAAATACGACTATTTTGCCAGACTGTCAAATAAAACTGGGAAAAACTATATCTTATATTGAAAGGCGACTTTTAAAAGGGGCTCAAGTAAAAAACAGGCATTAGTTGCCAAAGAAAATCCAGATAAATGCAAAGCTTCACTTATCTTTGAAATTGAGCTGCGCGCCTTGACCTTGACCTTGGGTAGGATTTTTTGATGGATGTGTTTAATTCTGTTTATAGATATGAATAGGGAGCTCAAGGGCGAAAGCTTCATTCCCTTAATAAACTGACTTAACCTGACTATAGTTAACCCAATCACACGCATTTTGTTCATTAGGCGAGGTAGTTTTTTTCACTGTTCGCCAAGCGCGTTTCTGACCAAACTACTTATTTCAAAACATGAATTGAATGCTCTGGAGATTCTGTCTACCTATTCTAAAATTTATGTGGAAATCTATTTTCACTTGTTGTGAAAGTACCCCCGAAGTCCTTAACAAAAATTTATTATTATTATTATTATTATTATTATTATTATTATTGGAAAGCTGATTTGTCATTAAAACGAGCAGATTTTTGCTATGGGAAGACAGGCGTTTGGCATTACCTATCTCTTAGTTTCGTCCAAATGAGCACAGGAAATCAACCGCAACATTAACTGGTCATGCAGATCGAAGAACATCTTTCGAAAATATGTTGTAAACTCTTTCTTGTCTATCACTAAATCCACTGGCGATCAATGGATCAAGTGAGTCAAGACGTTTGCATTCTTGAGAGGGAACACCG